GAGCATCACGGCCCAGCACCATTGTTCCAGGCAGCTCACCTCCCAAGGCATCTGCGAAGCGATCTCGGGTGTGTGGTGGAAGATCCTCAGGCCGAGTGTACTTGGCGACGAACTCGCCACAGGAAGCATCTTTGAGCATGGTCTTCACCTTCTTCTTGAGGCACACGACAGCCGAATGGAACTCGTCGGGGCTCTGCAAGCCAGTATTGTTGCAACTCTGCAGGGTCTTGATGATGTGTCCCACAGACTGTTCTGATGGCCAGAACATCTCCAGTCGAGCCATTATCTGAGCAGTGTGAGTCAGCCTCATGACGAGGGTGTCGTCGCTGGACAAAACTCTCCGGTCCTCGGCGCCCAAGAAACCCCAGAAGTTGAGAATTTCCTGGTTCTTCTTCTTGGCCTTGGCATTTGCTGGAGTGCTGCCTGCCAAGGTCTGGGAGACGGCTGCACCCAGGGCCTGCTTCTGCTCGTGTGACCAAAGGCCCTGCTGCACCAAGCTGCAGATCTCTGCACCCTCCTCGACTGTGATGTGGCTTTGACGAATCGTTCTGATGGCGACCTCGCTCTGAGCAGCCAAGAGAGAAGTCCATTGATCTCCCATGATGGGCTGCTGGGTCTGGAGGAGCTGGTTCAGCTGTCGAAGGAAAGCAGCTGCCATTGCACGGCCGGATATAGCACAGATGCTCTGCACAAAGCGAGCTGCTGTAGCCCTGCTTGCGAACACCTGTCTATATAGAGCAGCAGCGGGCAGCAGGCAGATGATGGAGTGCATGTGCTTTGCAACACACAAGCATGCAGCCTGCCACTGGAGACGTCTTTCACATTGCATGCAGTCACAGACCGGAAGACTTCTTCACCAAAGGGGTCTCGGTTTCGCAGGCAGGGCTCTGAGCTCGCCAGCAGAACCCGTAGACACCCTCAAGAGCACAGCCATGTTACTACAGTATACCGACACCTGCAGGCATGCAAGTGTGTAATATATGTGTATGTAAGTTCAGAGATTCAGTCCATTTCATATACACATAAATATATATACACATATATGTATGTATATATATATATATATATATATGTGTATATAAGAATATATGAACGATATGTTTTGGTATCTGTATATGTATATATATATATATACATATCGTGTATATATACATATATATATATATATATATATATATGTATGTGTGTGTGGGGTAGATACACATCTCACATGTAATAGGTATATATGCAGAGTGTGTAAAACTGTGTATGTATATGTACTTCAGTGAAATCCATGCAGCCACTTTGCTATGTAGCAGTCTCTTCCTTCACAGCCAACCCCCCCTCCCTCCAACCCCCTTGTACCTTCCCTCGCTCACTCGTTCTCTGTCTCTGTCTCTGTCTCCCTCTCTCCCTCTCCTCGTTTGTTGCTCTTTGTCGCAGACACACACACACACACACACACACACATGTTGCCATGGGGGTCTGTGTGCCTCATGGGCCTGACCAAACGGTGCACACTCGGAGGATGGGCGGTTTTTCTTCAAACTGGCCCATATGGTCTGTGGTCGTGAAACAGACACAGGACGAGGCCCCGGTAGCCCAAAGCCTCGGCTATACAGGGGGAGATAGCCCCCTCGCCGATTCGTCTTCTGCAGCCCAAAGCTATTTCTTACCTATATAGTTTCCCTACTTATTGCCTAGAGAGGCCAGAGGACAGGGAACCACGAGGGCACTGGGAAAGCAACCCTTTATGCATGCATAAGGGGCCTGACCCCAAAAACCCGAAACCTTTATGTATGCATAAAGGTTTGTGCCCTTGGCCCTGCCGAGGTTTATGCATGCATAAGCCCCGCCCTAGGAAACTGAACCCAGCCATATGCATGCATAAAGTTCCGGTCTATTTTGCTTAAGGGGCTTTATGCATGCATAAACCCCGGCCATCGGGACTGGTAGCCCTGACCCTCTGTGCCCGAAGCGGCGAGCCGGAAAATGCCCCCAATTTCAGGTCCTTCGCTGCTCACAGCATGCAGGACCTTGGGATCCAAGCAAGCAGGCCAGGCCGTATATAGAGCAACACAGGCGGTCTGAGCTTCCAACTATTAGCGGCTCCCCTGGTCTCCAGGCCACAAACCAGGGGTGCCAGGCAGGAACCATGGGATCCTGCCAGGCATTATAAGTTTCAACACCATCAGGACAGAAAGGCTCCTCGGTCACAGCACAGGCCTCAACGGACTCGCTTTTCTTGCAGGTTCATCGTCTCGGCCATGACCCCCATGGTGTGGAGGGAGGCCCGCAAGTCCTGCATGTCGGGGCTCGCGGTGTCTTCAGCTTTGCTGTTCTCGTGGATTGGCAAGCAGCAAGGGTCCTCCATGTGGCTTCTCGATTCCTCGAGTGCCCCTTGGGCCTGGAGTGCCCGGACACCTTGGCCACCACGTGTCCGGGCCCTCTTTCTCCCCATGCCCGCCGCCCACTCCTGCAACGGGGCCAGCAGCAAGCAGAGGCAAACCTGAAGCACCATCACAAAGACCAAGGCAAGCCTGGCCGTGCTCGTCGATGAAAGCGACCTGCCCAAGAAGACTGCATCAGTATAGAGACAAGTGCAGTCGTGCGTGCCAGACCCAAAGAAAAAGCCTTGGGCTTCACGTACTGCCCTTTGCCCTTCGAGTCCGGCATCAGATCTCCTCAATCCAGACAACAAACACTTGCAAAGAAGCCTGGCTCCAGACAACCACAAGAAGTCCTTCGTCCCAGTTCGCGGGCAAAGCCTGCCACAGATGCAGCATGCATTATATACACAGTGAACAGCTATATGCTTGCTGTCCTTGGTCTTTGGCACGGGGTCCATGTACCTCTTCGGAGGCGGCTCCTGCAATCAAACAAGAAGTACATTATATCGCCTTACGAAGAAATTCCGCCTTCGGCTCCGCTGGGCGCTGCTTCTTGCTGTTCGCCGGCTTCAGCACAACTGGCGAGCAGGCACACTAGATATGTACGATGGAGCAGCATGCAAAAGCAGTTGCAATGACATGTCGGGCATGCTGGGCTCGGCCGCTGGATCCTCGACGTCCACCTCCACGGTGTCCGACTCCTCGTGGCCTGCATGCTGCAACTACATGGATATATACATATGGACTCCTTGAGCTTCAAATACCCGGCCTTCCAGGCATATCACAGAAGCTTTAAAGTCTCCCACATCGTCGTTCCAGTAGAGCCACCCGCCTTAGGCGACAACGGTTTTCTTCTACCCAAATTAAGAAAACACCTAGGACCAGGGCTGGCAGGCACGTTCATGGCCTGCACGTCTGGGTGCTTGAAGTACATGTCACCTGCACGAGTGCACGAGCCAATTCACTTGATTCCATGCAGACACTATATATAACTGCAGCCTCCAACAGACAGGATCTTCCACCCCATCTTGGCCGACCAGGAAATCGTGGTGCCTGCAAAACAATTGCAACCAAATGAAAGGCTATATATCCATATCACTTGCATGGGGGCACCGGCCTTCATCATTCTTGTATTTCCCCCTCCCGGACTTCGAGAAGTCCGTGTGGAGCTGCAGCCGCTCCACCACATCGGCCTGTTATTTTTGGGGCGGTGGCATGTGTGTGCATGTGGTTGTACAGGGGCCCCACCTCCACAGCGGAGGGAAGGCTTCGCGACAAGAAGCTAAAGGACATCATCACTCCCAAAAACCACGGCAGCTTCACAAGCCAAAAGAGCTGAAAAAGCAAGCATGGCGCAGACGTGGCACCCACTGCAACAAGGGCAAATGTGCATGCAGAAACACGACACCAATGTTCAGAGAGCTTCGGTCGATGTCGTCTGTCCAAAGACAGCATCGGGCAATCAAAGTGTGGAGCCGTTGTGAGTTTGCATCATTGACAGTAATATATACATATGTATATATATATATATTTTTTTTTTCACGGTGTGTTGATACATACTATACATCAAGTATACACATTGCATGGATGCACGGAAGATACATGCGAGACTGCATGCAGAATCACTTCTTGGCCTTGGCCGGGGAGCCAACGATGCCCTTCGGGGCCGGGTTCTTGGCCGGGGAGCCATTCAGGATGCTCTTCAGGGCCGGGCTCTTAGCTTTTGCCTTGGCCTTGCCCTTGGCTTTCGCCGCTGGAACCTTGGCCTCCTTGTCGGAATCCTCGCTGGCATCGGTCTTGTCCCGGGAGCTGTGCCTTCTTTTCTTCCGATCGACAGGCATTTGTCGATTCGCCTGCTCCATGAGCCAATTGAAATTTTCGGAGAGCATCTCCACGAAGATGCTCCCGGTAGACAGGCCCTCGCTGAGGATCGACAGCTGAAAGCCATCGATCGTAATGTCGACGATCGCCGGCAACAGGTGCACGTGCTTGGCCAAAGCCTTCACCTTATCCTTCTTGCTTTTCTTCTTCTTGGGCTCGTCGTCGGCTTCATCGTCCCTCAGGGCCTCTTCCAGCAGCTTGTCGCAAGCAGCCTGCCTCTTCTCGATCAAATCGTCAAAGAGCTTTATGTTCAGCGACCCCGATGATTCCCCTTGGCCGGACCGCAAGTCCAGTCGTTTGCCTGTGATCATTTTCACAAGCTGCGGGGACCATTTCGAGACAGCACAGAAGACCCGGTCGTCGACACTCTTTTGGGTTGGCATCCAGCTTCGGTCACCCAGCACGACAACCTGTTTCGTCACAATCTCGAAGCAAGCCATGATGATGCGATGCACGGGGGAAATGGTTTGATGCGAGGCTGGAGCTGTTTTCTGCCGGCGAGCACACATGCCCTGCCTAGAGGGATCCTCGCACCATGCAGCTGCACAGAACACTCTATGAATGGTCGCTCTATAAAAACCATGCCCCTCGGATGCTTGCAACCTGCAACAATTGTACATATCCTTCTCCGCAATGCATTAGAAACAGACCTCACATATACATACAATGGAATCTTTCAGATACTGCAAGCTCAAGCAATGGCTGCTGCTGGTATAGCAGCACACTGGACTGCATACGGATGCCGAAACATCACTTCTTCTGAGCCTTCTTGCTGGAGCCACCTGAGCTCGCCGATGCTCTTTTCTGCGCCGAAGTCTTGTGGTCGTCCTCCACTTCCTCCAAGGGAGCCACCTGCACCGTTTTAGATCTGAAAGCCACAATGGGGCTGCCTTCCGGGATCTTCTTGGTGTTCTTAAAAACCGGAATCTTGATGCTCTTCTCTGTTCCCGCAATCCAAACAAGCTTCACATTGCAATCCTCTTCCTGATGGCTGTGCTGCACCAACCAAAAGGGAACTACCACATGTTTGCAAGTGTCGTCGTCGTTATCTTTGGGTAGAATGTTGGCTCCGGAAAGCCAAAACTTGCGGTCGTCTCCTTGCCAGTCCGTCTGCACCTCAAACATGGTGTTGCCTTGGCCCTGGGATTTCTGCACGACCTTGTTGGTCATGGGCACCATGCAGAGTTTCTTGATGTCCGAGTTGGCAAGCAACATCCTCGAAGGCTTCAGCTGCAATTTCAGGTGCTCCGATCCACACTCCATGGACTGGTGAAGCTTGTAGAGCTCAAGCTGAATCTTCGATGCAAGAATGCTGGCATCAAAATCCACATGGTGCTGGTACAGGTCCAAGCTGTCTAGCATTGTGGGCTGCACACGAGGAACAAACACGACCCAATCTCCAGCCAGGATAACACTGAGATCCACCTTGGCCGTCTTTCCCGAAGCCATCTTCACAAAGACCATCTGACCTTTCACTTCTGAAAGAACTCCCTCGATTTTGTCAACCTTGCGACGGATGTGTGCACCCATAGCGAAACCCTTGGAGGCCAATATCTTCTCAGGTTCCTTGATACTGCCGTCTTCAGCAAGCTCAAGCATCACACCTGCAGCAGAAGGCTGGGAAGCAGTCGCTGCAGTTGCAGCTGGTTCACTTTGCTCAGACACCGACTCCCATGGCAAAGGGAGTGCAACACCGGTCAGGTTTCTTGCCACGAGCAAAAAATCGTGCCCAATCGCTTGGACTGTTTTGTACTTTTTCTCGTCCGGCACCTTGATGCCGAGGACGTGCGATGCTATCGTCATATCCATAGTGGCCAGAGCTTGCACGACCCGCGAATCCGTCATGAAATCGCGAGCTCCATCCCTTAAGATGCCCCTGACCGTGAGGATCATGTTGTCAGCTTCCTTGACCTTGGGGAAGAGTTCTTTAGAAGTCATCTTCTTCACATCAGCAATGGTCACATTCTGCCTCAAGTATGCCTGCTTCATGAGTGCATGGCGAAATGCTGCAACGGGATCTGACTGGTGCCCTCGGCAATCTTGCCCGAAAGCCTCCCACAGGACAGGCCCCAATTGCCGAGAAGAAGGGCAGTAAGCCCGCACAAAGGACTCCGTCTCCTGAAGGAAGCTCGCATCGGCACCCCCGGAAGCCTTCAGACAAAACGTAAACATGTGGGGTACGGAGGCATGGCAGCTTGGTTTGCTGGCCAATATCAACTTCTTCAGAGATGCAAAAGCCGGTGCTTGGCCAGTCTGAGTCTGCAAGCGGTAGTACGTGGAATGGATGCGACGGAGTACTTGTAGCTCATGTTCTCCTCGTTGAAGCGATGTGTTGCCTGACCGGGATATCAAGCTGATCAGCTCTGGGAACTCTTCCGCCACGGAGGAGGAGATCACGTCCCACGTCAGGCCTTGATCAGCTGCTTCGTGGAACGAAGCATCCCGAGCACGAAGAAGCTCCATGCTGAGCTTTCCACCCACACTCACGACCTCGTTGCCGTGGCTTGCACCTTGTTGAAAAAGTCGCAAAGCGCAATTGGTATGTGATCCGCAGATCGAAGTGATCTTGATCGCTTCCGGCTCAAGGCTTCCGAGAAGACCGTGGGCTGACTCGAACAGCTTCTTGTTCCACTGCCGGACCCAGTCTCCTTCGACTTCGACACCGACCGCATGCACACGTGTGGGGACATAGCCCACATCGACAATCGAGTCCACAAGATCACGAACGTCTTGTGGATTCACTCCGTACCCATCCCGGTTGCAGGGATGGATCCCCACAAGGCTCGCCTCCAACTTCATGGAGGTCAAGAGATGCTTGGACTTCAAGTAGTTCAAGCAGTTCTCCACGATTCGGACAAGGCCGTCGCCATCCGAGGCTTCTCGAAGGAAAGCCTGCAGCCGCTCTCGCACATCCGACTGCAAAGGCATGATGGGCAAGCGAGATGGAGGACGGAGCTGAAAATCTGCCTGCGAGCCAAGGGCCCTGCAATGGCGATAGATGGCTGCAATGCATGGAGTCATGCACAATACACAGAAGGCAAGCATGCGAGCATGTCCTCAACACATGCAATGCAGCAGCTTTCCATGCAATTTTCAATTGCATCCTGAATACATGCGGCAGGAGATCTCCATGCAAGCTTCCGTTTGAAGCTTTGCAAATGCCAGGAAAACAACTTCAAATAAACAACTTACACCACTTACCTAAATCAGTTACACAAAGTTATCTAAGTTTGGCAAGTTGCTTAAAAGACTTGTTCTATCTTACTTATAAGTTCCACCCTGCTTTTGGCTAAGTGACTCAACTGCTTGCTCCACTTCTTAATTCAAGCCTCGGACTTGCTAAGTTGTCCATACAACATAGTATATATACAGCACTTATAACTCATGTTAACGAACTTGTAACTCAACTTAACCTGATTGTCTAAATCTCCTAAACCATGTATTCGATTACTAAACACCCCGCCCCTTCAAGTAGTGGCCGGGAGTAGCTCCGAGGCTTCTGCGGAGGTCGTGGAACGGCCCGCTAAGAAGCAAGCCAGGGTTCCCGACCGCAGCCAGGGCAGCTATGTGATCGTAGAGGTCCCAGGTGCCATTTTCCGCCTGCACAAGGCGGGTGCTACAGGTTGTTGGATGGGGAAGCGACGTGCTTTCCGCAACGCTAGGATCCTTGACTCGGTTCCGGAGCCGCACGAGTACTCCCGCTAACATGATGGAACGGCGAGTTCTGTCAGCTACTAGCTGGGCCGACCTGTCCCAGGACGACATCGCTAGCTTGGATGCAGCTATGTCAGCGGGCCTCACGCAGAGGTTCGCCGCTACAGAGGCCGCCGCTGCTGCAGCAAAGGCCCAGCTAGACCAGCTCGCCGCAGCCAACGCGGCCGCTAGCGCGGCAAAGGCCAAGGCCCGCAAGGAGGCGGAGGCCATAGCCGCTAAGCTGGCGCTAAAAAAAAGGCCGAGCACGACCAGAGAGTCGCTGCGGCCGCGCTAGAGCAAAAGCGGAAGGAGGCCGCGGAGCGGCTCACTAAGGAGGAGCTACCAGGGATGCCACCGCTACAAGCAGCACCGATCCTGCCCCGGTGGCCGCTACTGCCGCCGCTACGGCAGCACCGGCTGCCACAGCTGCGCCCGCTCACGTGGATCCTACGCCGGCTGAGTCGGCCGCTAGGAAGTTCATGGAGATCGGGCCGCGGGCCGCTAGCCCCTCGTTCCCTCGGGCCGCTAGCCCTGGCCGTGGCCGAGGCGAGAGGGGCAGGGGAAAGGGCCAGCCGGCCGCTACAATCAATGTGTTCGACTACACGTGGAGCACGCTATTCGAGGACCCGGACCGCTACCTGGAGTTGCTACGTCGCGAGCTCCAGCAGGACCGCGCTATCGACCAGGCGGGGGGCATGCCCGACAACGTCCGGGACGCTAAGGGCACATTTGTGAGTGTGGCGCTAAAGGGGAGAGCCAGGCCCCCCCCGGGGGCCCACGCTAACAGCCTTCCCAAAGGGAAGGGCTACTGGTACGAGCTCTCGTGGTCCGCTATTGACCGCGATCTGTGGCCGCTAGGTTCCTGGGACCAGCGCTTCGAGAAGGGGAAGGGCAAGGGGCCCAACCCCCGCTACGGCAAAGGTGCAACACGCTAGTGAAGAACGCTATCCACAGTGGAGAGCACCTCTGCTCGCTAGGCCGGGAGGACGTAGCACTCATGTGTCGCTCCGCCCATCCTCCCGCTAGCACGCCCCAAGGGGAGCGAGCTAGCGAGTTGCTGGCCATGCTATTGCCAAGCTGCTATACGCAGTACCAGCCTGGACGCTGCCGCTACTCCCTGGGCCACTGGGACGCTAACGCCTGTATTTTCAGGTGCGCTACGACCTGCGAGGTCTGTTCGCTAAGAGCCTGCAACAGGCGGATGTGGTTCAAGTGCGACGACCACGCTACTCACTGCTGTGATGGGTGCAAGCAGTGGAGCCGCAGGGAGGACTGGGGCGGCCGCTAAAAAGGGCAGCCCCTGCCTCGCTACAGGCCCCGGCCTCGCTACCTGCACCCGCTACTTTTGTCTTTGCACGCGGCTACCTTTGCAGCGCCCTCTGCTGCCGACCGCTAGCCGCAGCAAAAGTCAGGGTCGTCCCTTGCTACAGTTGCCAGTGTGTGCACGCTACAGTCCATGCTACACACATGTCGGCAGCCAGAAAGAAGGGAAAGCTAGAGCGAGAGAGTGTCGAGAGTACTGAGGGGGGGGGGCCGGGGTCGGTGGGGCTGCTAGGGCTGCTCTCTGCTGCAGCGCCCCCTTTCAGCGAAAGCTATCGACTGGCACTCCCCACACACACTCTCACGCTAGGAGCTTTTCCCCAATGTGCTAGCAGGAATTTTTCCCCTTTGAAGTTTTTCTTAGGGTGGCGTAGGGCCCGTCGTGCCTGCTACCATGATGGCAGAGGCTCTGGCAAAGAAGCTAGCCCTCGGAAGCAGCGAGCTTCGATTCCTGCTAGTGCAGCATAAAGTCTCGGATGCTATCCAATCCGAGCTCTTTTCCAACGGTATTGATACCGTCGCTAAATTTGCAGCCTCGGCGACAGATGAGGCGGACCTCAAGAAGATGCTAAAGGACAGCTTTGCAATTGAGCCGTCCACCTCGCTCGCTAGCCGCGCTCAGGCCGCGGGGGTCACCATCGCATGGAACCGCTAACTCCCGCACCGAGCGGCAAGCGGAGGCGGAGGCTACAAGCGAGGTCCGGGACTGGGCAAAGCCCATCCCCGCTACCGACTACATGGCCATGCGCCAGGCCTTCACCGCTAAGTTCGGAGACCTGGACAAGCAGACTCCCGCTAAGGAGTACATTGAGAAGAAGCTAGGCGAGCTCGAATCTGGCGAGTTCCGGGCAGAGCCGCTAACCGAGGTCATCAGCCGGGACGAGTGGGACCCGGACACGCTACTGCCCGTCTGGAATGGCAATGGCACGCTATCCATGAAGAAGGGAGGAGCTAGGGCCGCCACGCCCTCTGGGCCGGAGCAGCTACGGCTGCGGCTCACGGTGCTCCAGAACACGCTAATCATGATGCAGCTAAGGCACCCCAACCGGGAGGAGCTACAGGATGTCACCATGGCCCTCTTCGAGCGCTACAAAGACTATCTCCTCGGAGACTATATTGCTATGGTCTCCGGTCTAGCGCCGACTCGGGGTCGCTAGTACCCCCGTGGTTCTTGGTGCTCAGCTACGAGCACGCTATCAAGACCCCCAAGGGGAAGGGCAAAGGCAAAGACGCCCCCCCCAAGGGGGGCAAGGCTAAGAAGCGTCTGGGTGTCGATCGCACCCCGCAAGGGAAGCCCATCTGCTTCCGCTACAACGCCAAGGGCTGCAAGAATGGCAGCAAGTGCCACTTCGAGCACGTCTGCTCGCTATGCTTCGGAAAGCACCCCGCTACGCAGTGCCCCACCAAGAAGCAGACGGAGGCCGCTAAGGAGGACAAACCCTCCAACTGACCCGCTATGGCGGCCGCGCCCTCAGTGCCTGCGACCCCCCCCAGGGGGGATGCTACGCCAGCCCCGGCGGCCGCTACGCTTGCACAGCCGCTACGGGTGCTTTACCTTTTCTCCGGTACATCGCGCCGGCTAGATGTGGCGCAGTGCTTGCACCAGCTAGCCGCGGAACTCGGGCTAGATGTACGGGTCGAGTGTGTCGATCTTCTGCGGCACGCTAAATACGACCTTAGCCAGCCCAAGATCCGGCAAGGCTATCTGGACCGCATACCTAACAAGGAATTCGATGCGGTCGTGCTCTCTCCACCGTGCGCTAGCTTCTCCATGCAGAGCTCCCTGGGCTAACTTTCAGGGGCCCCGTCCCGTGCGAAGCTATGAATGTCCCCGGGGTCTGGAAACGCTAACACCTGCTGAGAGAGACCGCGCTATACTGGGCAACATCTTTGCGGATTTCAGCTTCGAGGTCGCTAACCTCGTGGCCGACGGTGCAGCTACTTTTCTTGCAATGGAGCAGCCCGAGGACCTTGGGGCCCTCGCTAAGGGTCCGCACCAAGGGACACGGCCGGCCTCTATGTGGCAGTGGCCGCCGCTAGCCGACCTTCTGCAAAAGGGGCTACGGACCGTGGCCTTCCACCAGCTAGTTTTGGTACGCCATACGCTAAGCCGACACGGCTGCTGCTAAAGTGCTCTTCTGCTATGCCCGACTTTGTACACGAAGGCCTGCCGTGCTATGACAAAAAGGGCTGCTACACAGGACCGCTGCCTTCTGGATGTGCCAGTGGCTGGCTATCCTGATTCTGGACTCCTGCCAGCACCCTGCTACCGCTGCCCAGGGGGAGGGGGGTGGCGCTAGGCCGGAGTGCCCGCTACCCCAGACCTTCCCGACCTGTGATTCGGAGGGTCCGCGAGTGCATGATGGTGGGGGCCTCTGCTCTCCAAAACGCTGGCCCCACGCTACCCGCAGCTACGCCGAGGGTCCCAATTGGGACTGCTACGAGAGAAGATGATGGAGGTGATCCTCGCTAAGGTAGGTTCGGAGGCGGAGCTAGAGAAGGAAGCCTTCCGCATGGCTGCCGGTGGGGCCAAGGGCTGCGCCCTAGCTAGCTCCGAAGATCTCCAGGACGCTTGATCTGGAAAGAGTGGTTGGAGGCTAATGACCTGGGAGACCCGGAACTGCTAAAGGTGGCCCCGGGGCAACCGCTATACCTCCGCCTCATCCGGGCGCTACTGACCGCGGCCGGCGATCCCGACAGGGACTTCCTCCTCCAGGCCGAGGAGGGGCTACCGGTCGGGGTGAGAGACCCGCTACCACGCACTCCCCACGTCTTCGAGGAACAGCTAAAGTGGCCCTTGGAGAACGCCCCTTGGGAGGCGGCGCTAGCCTGGGTAACGAACTACTCCTCGGTGGAGGAGTACCGCGAGTTCGCTAGGGAAAAGTTCGAAGAGGACGTGGCGGAGGGCCTCATGGCCAAGATGACGCTAGGCGAGTTCAAAGCCCGCTATGGCGAGCATCGAGCCATCGCCGCGCTAGCCGTCATCGTTGAGCGGGGTCCGGGTCAACCGCCGCATCAAGTGCCGGGACAAGATCCGGGCCCCAGGAGCTAGGGAGAAGAAGCAGCTACTTCGGGAGCACATCGACGCTAACGAGGTGGCTTTCTCCGTGGTGGGCGACATCGCTAAAGCTCACCGACGCTACAAGCATGCCGAAGGAGAGCATGGCTACCTAGGGTGTCAGATCGACACCGAGGAAGCTATACCGGGGGACCCCGACAGCCAGACGGTTTACGTGAATCTGGTGGGGACCTTCGGGCTATCATGTGCGAGCTACTGGTGGACCCGCATAGCGGCGTGTGGGCTTCGACTCACGTACCACCTGCTAGGGCCATCGTTCCCGCTAGACATGCTACTCTATGCCGACGACCTCGAGTCCTTGGGCCGAGGGGCTAGAGGACGCATGGGGATCCCGCTAAGCTATCTCTTCCTCGCTAGTCTTGGGTACCCCTTCAAATGGGCCAAGACGAGGGGGGGATTTCGGGTGGAGTGGCTAGGCATGGAAACGGAGTACTCCACCTGGAGGCTAGGCCTGTCTCAGAAGAGAACCGACTGGCTAGTGGAATGGCTACGGAAGCTAGTCCGAGATGGGAAGTGTGAGGCCCGACCCTTCGCACAGGGGCGAGGGCGCCTGGGTTCGCTTCCATGGCGCTAGACTGGGAGCGCCCCTTCCTGGGACCGCTACACGCCTGGTCCTGGGGCTCCTGACGCTACCCACGATGATTCGCGTCCTCTGTGGTTGGCTAGCAGACCGCCTGGAAGCAGGAGGCCGTCTCCAGAAGCCAGCCTCGCTATTGGACGGTGCGGCACCGCTCTCCTTTTACACCGATGCTAAAGCCGAGAATGGACGTGCCTGGATTGGGGGTTTCCTCGAGCTAGTGGACGGCTGCCACGGTCCCTGGTTCTCGCTAGAGGTGAAGAAGGAATGGGCCCCCTGGGCCTTCGCTAAAGGGGGCCCGAACAAGGTCATAGCCGCGCTGGAGCTACTGGCTACTCTGGTTGGTGTGAGCCCGGAAGGGGACGCTAAGAAGACCTCCAAGGTGGCCATCCGCGGCTACACCGACAACCAGTCCAACGAAGCGCTACTGAAGAAGGCTATGACGACGAAGTTCCCGTCGACCTTGGTGTTGATGGAGCTAGCAGAGGAACTCTCCGCTAAGAACTGTGAGCTTCAGCTACAGTGGATCCGCAGGGATCTGAACCAGCTAGCGGACGACCTCACGAACGAGAACTTCGCTAGTTTCTCCCCGGACTTCAGGGTGAGCCTGGAGGGGGAAAAGCTAGAGTGGCACGTGCTGGGCCGTCTCCTCGAACACTCGGCTAGCTACTTGCAAGAGCTAGGAGTGAGGAAAAGGACCGGAGAGCCGAAGGCTCCGAGGTTCGCTAAGAAGGCCCGTAAGCTAGGTCCCTGGTAGCCCTACGGCTGCGCAAGGAGATTAGCTAGCCAAAGGCTAGAGTTCTTCTCCGGGCTAACGCGGGACTTCGCCACAACGCTAAAAAGAGAGAAGTTCGTGTTGTCCGTGCTACTGCGTGAAGCCAGTTAGCTTTAGCTAGGCTTGCTACGTACTCCCCGGAGGTGTAGTGGGAGGTGGCGGGAGGATACGCTAGCTAGTGTACGCACTCGTGCCGAGGGACGAGGTACGACAGTGTATGCTAGCGCTAGTATCCCTTTGGGAAACATCGAAGGTGTTTCGCTAGAAAACGTCGAAGGGGTTTTCCTCTGAAGCTAAACAGAACGAAGCTTGTCTGTTTGCTAGAGTGACTGCACATGGCCGGTGAAGCAGTGCTACTCCGTGGCCATTGTGCTGAAAGGCCCCCAGCTATTGGGGGGCAAATTTCGAGTGCCCACCCAACCCACCCTGGAGATTAGCTAGCCAAAGGCTAGAGTTCTTCTCCGGGCTAACGCGGGACTTCGCCACAACGCTAAAAAGAGAGAAGTTCGTGTTGTCCGTGCTACTGCGTGAAGCCAGTTAGCTTTAGCTAGGCTTGCTACGTACTCCCCGGAGGTGTAGTGGGAGGTGGCGGGAGGATACGCTAGCTAGTGTACACAACCAGCTCCTGCCGACGAGGAGGATGACGTTGCCTTTGCGGATGTAAAAAGGAGCCCGAGGCCAGTGACAGAGAATCCGAATATAGCGGAGGCCCTCAAGTCAGTTGACGACTTTCGGAAGCACGACTCCTCCGGGAAGTTTTCGTTGCATGCCCATCTTAGAAGAGAAGTGTTCAAGGTGCATCGGAACCTCAACCACCCAGCCAAGGATGTGTTCCTTCGGGCTCTGTGCCACGCTGGTGTCAAGGACGAGATCTTACAATGGGTCAAGGAGTATTTCTCGTGCCCGTTATGCGAAGCTTCGCGGAAACCTTTGCCAGCGAGGCCCGCGCACTTGGCAAAGACGTTAGCCTTCAACGCGGTGATTGCCGTGGACCTCTTCTACATGACCGTCTTCGGGTCGGAGAAGATCTTCCTGGTTTGCGTGGGTCATGGGACGGGCTACGTGCAAGTTGCCCGCTGCAAGGACGCGAAGGCCGCTACGGTCCGTCAGGAATTGTGCCGGGCGTGGGTACAACCCTTTGGTGTTCCGGAGCTTATCTTGTGTGATCAGGGTCCAGAGTTCACTGGAGAACAGTGTCAGGAACACCTGTCCCAGCTCGGGGCCGCCATCCACTACACCGACGGGGCGAGCCCATGGCAAAACGGAAAGGCTGAACGAACAGTTCAGACCCTCAAGAACAAGATCCTCGTAACGATCAAGGACATTGCCGCGCATGAGGAGGAGCTGGATGTGGTGATCGCCCACGTGGTGTCCGCTTACAACTCAATGTTCGACCGTCACGGATTTACGCCGGACCAGCGAGTTTTCGGGCGTTCTGTGAGAATGCCAGCTTCTTTGTTAGCTGATGATCGACTGAACCAGGAGTTAATCAAGGAAGCTGCCGGTGACTCCGTGCGCCGAACGTGGGACATCCGGGAAGCCGCTCGCTCTTCCTGGTTGAAGAAGGATGACGCTGAAGCAGTTCAGCGAGCTCGCCGCGTACAAACTCGGCGTACTGACCACCACTCTTACCGACTACAACCTGGGCAGTGGGTCTACGTGTGGCGAAAGACAGACAATCGTCATGGATGGACTGGCCCTGGATCCTTGATCGCTCAAGTGCCAGGAAGCACGTCATGGTGGATCAATGTGCGTGGAAGATTGTGGAAGGCCTCAGCGGAACAAATCCGACCTACGTCCAGCGAGGAGGACCTTGGTGCCACTTTAATGATGGAGTTGCGCGGTGATCTGGTGAAACAGGTAACAGGGTTATTTCAAACCGAGGAGTTAGCTACTCCACCAGCGAATCAGCCAGGTTCCACCTCAGCTGCGGATGCCGACGGCACGGAGTCCCTTGGGGAGACCACGACTGCAGGCAACGAACCTAGCCTCCCAGCACCTGCCGAAAAGCTCGGGAGTCATGTCGTTCGGACCAGCAAGACCCTCTCAGCAGGAAGGACCCCGCACGGGACCTTACTTTCAGGAGTCCGAGACGGTGAACCCCTCGACCTACCTGAACGTCATGGACTCTGATGCGGCCCACGTGCCAAAGGTTCATTTCCAAGTTGGCGCCACGGAAGCTTGCTTTAGTGAGCGTGATCGCTGCACGTATGTGGGCAAGGCCAAGACCTCTTTTGGCCAGGTCGAGTTCTCCAAGTTAACCGGCTCGGCCAAGGAGATGTTCCGCAAATCTCGGGCCAAGGAGTTCAAGTCCCTTCTTGATAACCGAGCGGTGAAGGTCCTTAGTGTTCAGGAGTCGGATTTCGCCGACTACACCCTGAAGCGATCCTCGAGTCGAGATTTGTGGACCGGTTCAAACCGGTGGGCATCGACAGAAAGTCAAGCAGAGAGCTATGGTCGACGGAGATCTGACACGGCTTGAGCTCTCCGAGGACCATACCAACCCCAAGTGCAGATGGTGTGTCATAGGGAGGCGAGACCCACAGATTCATCAGATCGAACGCAGCGCGCCAACCGGCATCTTCGAGCATCAACGTGGACGGTGGGATGCACATCTGAGAGATGTCAAGACGGCCTCCCTACAGAGCCGTCCTACCGACAGAAAGACCCCGTTGGCGTGCTCTCAGCCGAAAGATGAAGGTCTTCCTGGACTGGATCCCCGGCAGCTACTGCTTCTCCTAACAGAGGTTTATGGCTTGGTGAGCGGGCCGGCTTGGTGCAGATCCTCGTTCCTCCAGAAGGTCCAGAAACATGGCTTCCGATTGTGCCCGTACGAGCCTTGCATCTTAACTCTTCCAGGAGAAGCTCCCGGATCGCCTACCGAAGGAGTTATAGTCATAGAGGTTGACGACTTGATCGAGGCCGGTGGTTCCAGTCATCGCAAGAAGTTCGAGGCCCTCGAGAAGGAAATCACCTTCGGGAAGGTTGTTCGGCTGCTGGATGCCAAGGAAGCCGACAGCACATATGCTGGACGAACTCTTCGACAGCTTCCGGATTACTCCTTCGAGCTGAACATTGAGGAGTATGTGTACACCCGCTTGGCTCCGGTGACCCTCACGCGCAAAGTGTTCAAGAAGGATGCGAGCGAGGTTCCGCTCGAGCCATCCGAGGTCACGCAGCTCCGGGGCGTGGTTGCAGGCCTATCCTGGGTTTCTCGGGAGTGTCGTCCAGACACCGCTGCAGCGGCTTCCATCTTGGCTTCAAGCTTTCCAGAACCGACGATGCAGCACGCGATCTTGGCCAACGAGGTGATCAAACAGCTAAAGCAGTGCCCGATGCGACTTCGCATCCACAGCATCGAGGAGACCAAAGTCCGGAACCTGGTGATCTCGGATTCGGCCTTTGACACGACTGGCAAAGAGAAATGCCAGCACGCGTTCTTCATCGGGTTCACCACCGACGAGCTGAACCTGGGAAAACCTGCCGTGGTGAGCCTCACACGATGGTGCTCTCGCCGGCTTCGTCGAAAAGCTTCGTCGTCCATGCTGTGTGAGGCCATCAGCTTCTCTTCGGCCACTGCTGCTTTGGAAAAACAAGACGCCTTGTGGGATGCTCTTCGCATCAGCTACTACGACCCAAGACAGCGCCAGAGGGTCGAGGAAGAGACTTTGGAGCTTCAGGGAAAATCCACGGTCATTGCTTCTGACGCTCCCCTTTACCAAGATCCTCGAAGCCTCGTGATCATCGATGCCAAGTCGCTTTTCGACAGTTTGCTCAGCGGTCAACCTTGTGAATGCGAGCGGACGAATCTCGAAGTAGCAGTGATTCAAGAATCACTGCAGGTGTGCAAAGCAAGGCCACGGCACAACCCGGCTGACGCCCTGACCAAGTTTCCTGGTGCCCATCTGGAGCCGCTTGTAAAGCTGCTCAAGTCTCATCGCTTCCAAATTAGCGATGAAGAGGCCATTTTGAAGCAAGGCCGCCAAGGCCAGCAGCGGCTCAAGCAAGGCTTGAGCTCATTGGGAAACCTTTCCTTTTTGGGGGCTGTGAAGCAGTATCTGCTATCCTGGAACTGACCATGTTTCCCATGAGCTCTGTGCCGCTGAACCTCCAGGCCTTGAGCCCTTGATGAGTGCGCAGTTAGAAAAGATCCGAGCTATGGATGCCTTTTGACTTGTCTGTTTGAGAAGTGTTGGTGACCTAGTGGTTCCGTCTCTGCCACATCGTTCCCCGAATGAGGATCGTGACTACTACCGTGCCAAGCGCTCTGCGCCTGACCGGCGCTCACTTTCCCGACGACGTCGCTCTCCGCCACGGGCCCAACCCTGGCCCAGGAGACGCAAGCATTCCCCCTCTCCCAGCACCTGCAGTGCATTCCGGGTGGTACCAAATGCCCCCACCCAACCCCAGCCCCTTCGGTTACGGTGGAGCTCTGCCACGCTTCAGCCACAGCTGCACAAGCCTCCCGCTCCACCAGCGCCACGCCTTGCTCGAAAATCTGGTAAGTACCATGATGCGTGGTCGGCCAAACGACAGGAAGCTGCCAGGGCCGCCAACACTCCTCATCGAGTGGAGGCCTTTGCAGAGCTGCAGCCCCATGAGCAAGTGCAGTTTTATGCTGTGGATGTTGAACTGGCAGAAGACCTGGGGCATGATTTTGCGGCTGCCGAGCCCTCCATGCCGACTTCTTTAGCCAAGGATTTGGCCCACCTTCCCCTTGCCTCAGGCATTGCAGACCAGGTTTTGCAGATTAACCAGATCAGCACAATTGAGGTGTCCGATGCTTATCAATGTCTTTTGTGCGGTTGCAGACCCCCACGGTACCAGTGTTTGGGGCCACTGATGGCCATGCACCTGGCCATTACTACGCATATTTTTTCTGCCACGGCACCGACTTCCCCACCGCCACCTCCATCCTTCGGGAATTGGTGATTCGCCCGACTGTGCCTGGCTCTTGGGGGCGAACTGTGACTCTGATCTCCCTCCCATTTGCTTTTACTCTCAAGCGGCAGCGGGTGAATTCGATCTGAACACCGTTCGCTCTGCAGTTGAACGCGAGTTGAGGATTTCAAAGGCCTGCAAGGCGTCCTCGTCGTGGGGGAGTTCAAATGTGTCAAGACTCACCTGAAACTCCAATGGGCGAGACTATGCTTCCGCCGAGGAGCAGTCCGCGCCAAGGAGCGATGGGCCTTCAACTCCTCCTTTGCACAGATCAGGGGCATTGCTGTTCCCCTGCCATTGTAAGCCAGCCCGGATACGATTCGCAGAGGTTGAAATGCGGTCCTGTTTGATTACACATGTTGCTTCGCCTGTGCATTGTTACAATCTCGCTTATGCTCATCCGCAGCCGTTTGTCAATTTGGGCTCCGGGCAGTCCGTCTCTGGCATCCAGTGTGTTTCACCTACGTGTCACAACATGGACAGGAGCAGAACGCCACCTCCTAGACCTTCCCCCGCTCGAGGACAGTATGGCCATGCTGTTCCGACTGTCCCACCTCCTCCGCCACCTCCCCCTCCCGGACCTCCATCCGGGGCTTCCACTTCACTCGTTCGTTTATCCATTCAGCAAAGGCACTGGCCTCCGGCACCGGCCCACAGCACTACTTCAGCGTTGCAGCCCACCTTGGGCTTCATGCCAGGGCTCACCAGGACCATCTTTCCTCGTCTCACACAGCATCCCGGGCAGTCTCAGAACACCAAGCTGGTATGCCTTCATCCCCAAACCGGATTGCAACCAATCCAGGTGGTGGTTCTGCACCACAATCGACTGGCCTCTTGACCACCACTAACGTACCAAAGCCGACTCCTCCAACCTCTCTCAGTCTCCCTGAAGACTGGGTTGACGATGCTGACCATTTGGATGTTCGGAGAAGCGTCGGCAACTTGTCGTGCCCGAGACACGTTGCATCGTCGGCATGGGCCCGCGAAAAGGGCATCGCTGGAATCCCGGTCACCAGCTTGCGTCCAGCACACTTCCTGTTCCAGCATGTGCAATGGAACAGCTATCGGTTGAGATGGATTGCACATGGGAAGGAAGCAAATTTTGTGGTTGCAACAGTGAAAGGAGAGATGGTCTTGGTTGGCGAGTTGTTGACCCAACTGCGAAGTCAAGGTGTGGACATCGAAGCAGCAGCCACACATCATGCAGTTGAGACCCAGACATCTCAAGCCAAGAACGTTGCTATGAAGACTCTGGCTCAGCATCTGCTGGAGTGTTTAAAGAAAAAGGTATCTGTCGAGACTGACCAAGAGTCTCAAGATCGCATCCGTGAGCTCGAAGGTCAAACCGGTGACCTGCAGCAACAACTGTTAAAGCAGAAGTCAGCGAACACAGCAGGCCCTCATGACAAACTGATATCTCGGGGCTCTGCGCCGTCTACACCTGCTGCTCGCAACTCCATTGAAGCTCGGTCACCGTTGGGTCCAGCCGAGTCTTCGGATGGATGCAACCCTTCACCTAAATAGGCATCACCGCTGGCCACTCCTGGCCAGCCCCACAGACAACTACCATTGTCTTTCGGCGCACCACCTTCGGCTTCCAAAGTCGACACCCACACCCGAATCCCTGATGCAGCCACCCCCTGAGGGCTCAACCTGGTTAGCTTCCAACCTGCCAGGCAAATTTCAAGAACGCGAGGTAAAAGCCTGGATCACATCTCTGTCGCTGAACGACAGGAAGAAGCAAGAGCTGCAAGAATGGTTCAGGCAGGTCGAGGCTTGGGCTGACCCAATAAGACGATGCCTCCATCAATCGCATCAGACGTACGGGCGGCTGTTATTTGGGGTGTGCCCACTAGCGCTGCCTCAAAATTTCAGAAGCAACCACTTGCAAGACTCATGGCAGTCGGTTCCTACATGGAACGTTGACTGATCGCTTCGACGCATCGAAGACAGCGGCGCTGTGAATTCAGGCGCACACAGCAAGCCGCCACCGCTTTTCAGTGCCTCATCGGCGGACCAGCTGCCGAAATTTTGCATCAGGACTTCACTTGCTTTTGTGTTGCTCAATGGTGCTGTGCACGGATCGCTGTACATGAAGCCTTCCGAGTGCTCCCTGACACTCACGTGCTGAGAGGTGTGTTCCGTGCACTTGGCGTCGAGCCGGGATATACATGAAGCCTTCCGAGTGCTCCCTGACACTCACGTGCTGAGAGGTGTGTTCCGTGCACTTGGCATCGAGCCAGAATATCCTTCTTTTGCACAGTTTTCGGCAGAATCTGTCGTGTATCTCAGATTCTCACCAGTCAAGAAACTGGCAAAACTCTTCTATGTTGGCAGCACTGAGAAACAGACTTCCACCCGAGAACACTCTCGGTTTCGGAAGCACAAACTTCTCGAGACAAGCTTGTGTCTGCAGAATTGTCTTTGCGTTACTGGGCACAGGCACAGAACTTTTGGTCTTGGGTCTCCTTGCCTGTCGTTGAAAGCGTCGCCCCGGAGCTTCTTAGAGGTCGGGAACAGGCACTCATCCAAACACTGCAGCTCCTTTTGAATTTTCCTTTCATCGCACGCTGGTTTCGCCCGAAGAAAGGAATTCTTTGCCCGCTTGCCCCCACCTTCTCACAAAAACCCGGCCTGCTGCGCCTGTGGCGCAAAAGACATGTGGGTGCAGCTCACGCAACTGGGCAGTAACACCTTGCAACATTTTGAAGCATCCAAACGCCTCCGCAAATCGGAGTTTGGTTATGCGCGCTGCATAGACTTGCCAAACATTTGCCAGCTTACATGGCTCCGACAAAGGCTTTACTGCTCCGAAGTTTTACCGCCCTTTACGCGTGCCGTTCATGGCCCATGCAGCATATCGGCAAGAGCTTCGTGCCTGTATGCGGGCATATGCTGCTGCAAGCATCAACGCTGTCACACCTTTTCATGTTCCCAAATCTACTGTTGTTTTCCCTCGACACTCTCGGGTATCTCAAGCTCTCAAAAACCACCGTGACGCTTTGAAGCAATGGGCAGCTAAGCATGAACCCACCTGCCACCTTTTTCCCTGACAAGGATCCCATATGGACTCAGTTCAGCAAAGCCTGGAATTCTTGGTGCATTGCCAACGATCTTCCGGGCCCTCCCCAGAATCTACACCAAGTTGTTGACTGGGCCTGGCAACAACACCAACAGGCATGCGCCACCAGATACAACAGCCGCTTGGTCGACACCATCATGCAAGGTCAAACCCCGGGGGGCTATGTGGCACGTCGAGGACCGCCGTCCCCGTTCCTCTGTTTGCTTTTGTCCTGTACTGTATCACAAGATGCTTGATGGTACGTTTTGCAATCAGAGCGTCTTTCAAAAAATCCCTACAGGGTTTGATGCTGAACTGCAGCGCGCGCAAAACGCCGCAAAACGGGCACTGCAGCGCAGATACCCATGGGCTTTTCGGAGGACCACCAAATTCCCCACCGCTTACGCTTTGCCCAAGCGCAAAGAGGATTTCCAGGCTGGCAGACCAATCGTTTCGTTTATTGACGCCTTTTTACGGCCACTCCTCGAGGCTACAGCGCGCCTTCTTCACAGAGTCTGCAGCCTTCCCGCACGCGGGCACCGGAGACGTCTATCAACTTCCCCACCAAGTCCGCAAGTTCTTTGCGGAAGGAACACAGGCACCATTGGTGTGCCGCAATCAGGATTTGGTTGGATTTTTCAATTCCATCACCAAGTCATAGTTCCTGCAAGCGTGGCGCTTAACTCTTGCATTCTACAGAGAGAGACACGGGGTAAGGCCTGATGCTGTTTCACCGTGGACCTCCGAGAGCAGAGTCAACAGCTGCGTGTATTCAGAGGCAGACGCCGCGCTAAAGCCATAAAACAGGTTCAATTTTGGCTGGAGGACGTCCCGACAATCATCATGCACGCCCTGGCCCTACAACACTTTCGAGTGGATCAAAGGTGCTTCAAACAAGCACACAGACCCCCGATGGGATCACCAGTGTCGCCAGCCCTTTGTGGGATGGTGGTTGCAGCACAGGAAGAGGTCTGGAGAAGGACCTTCAGCATCTCCTGCTCCACGATGAGTCGCAATATGTTGTGCCTCGGGTACGTTGATAACCGGTTGTGGCTGTCCGAAAGCTGGTTTTCT